TTGCTGCCAGCATAGGGAAAGAAGAACCTGAATAGCACCTGAGGTGGTAGCAGCTGAGAAGAGGTCAGCAGGTTGAATTCTTCCAAGTTTAATCATTGTTAAACCCATCATATATTTACTGATGAAAGATAAAATATCTTGTTGTTGAAGGAGGTCATCAAGAGGTAATGATCACTGGTTGACTAAAAGGCTAGGCTTAGGCAGTTGGAGGCTCCTCACCCCTTCTCCTATCTTTGGGCAAATCTCCATTGAATTCTGGGTAAATCAAACAAGTGCTGAGGGGAAGGATCAACTGGCAACCAGTAAGCCTGTCATCCTTGCAGACTGGTAACTGTGAAACAATATAAATTGCCTGTGGGGCACAAGGAACTAGGAGAAGCAATCCAAAACTGCAGTAAGTGACCATAGTGCTTTCAACAGCCCAACATTGCCAGTGAAAGAGTCAGATGGCTCATGGTGAATGACCACACACTACCTAGAATTGAACAAGGTAGTGCGTCCCCATCCAGACAGCTGTGCCCAACGTTGCCACCATCTTAGATACCTTGGCCAGAGTCCTAGGAGTGCACTGTGCTGCACTGGACTTAGCAAATGCCTTTTTTCAGTATACCCCTGACCACTGAGTCACAAGACCAATTGGTGTTTACATGGGAGAGGCAACAATGGGCCTTCCAAGTGCTTCTCCAAGGTTACCTGCACAGCCCTACCCTATGTCATGGGATGGGAGCCTGAGACCCACCCTGGTCTCCTCTCCATATCACTAAAATGGGCCCATTACATTGATAATACAATGTTAACATGGGAAGACTTGCTTCTGCTGCAGGACACCCTGGAAGCTTTATTGGAGAGAGAGAGGATGGGCAGTGAACCCACAAAAAATTCAAGGCCAAGACATCACTGTAAAGTTTTTGGGAGTTGTCTGGTCATATAAGACTTCTGTTGTCCCAGATAGGTGCAAGCCTATCCAACCCCTAAGAATGTGATGCCAGTCTTTGTAGAGATTTAGGGGCTTTGGAGGACTTTTATTCCCCAGCTGATATAGTGTCCCCTTACCTTATATCACCTGGTAAAGAACAGTAAGACACCCCCCCCCCCCAACTGGGGATCAGAGCAGTAAGCTGTCTTTGAAAGGCCAAAATGCTAGAAGGCAGGTTAGTTCTGAGCATCGCTCAAGCAAGACTGCCATTTGAATTAGATGGGTCTGTGACTCCGGAATATATGAGCTGGACACTGGCAGAAACAAGAGAAGGGGAGAGTACTCCTAGGAATTTGGGTCAGCTCTGGAAGCAGGCAACAACCTGACATACCACCATAGAGCAACAGCTCCTATCAGCGTACCAAGGTCCCCTTCAGGTTAAGCCTCTCACTAAGGAACAGCACATTGTGGTAAGAGCTTCCCTATCTATGAAGGGATGGGTTGAAAATACGTTCCATTGACCCACCTCTGCTATGGCTCAAACTCCCACTGTGATTGAGTGGCATGCCTGTTTGCAGCAGAGGAGCACCCTGTCCAGCAGCCTACTAGAAATGCAGGTACAGTTAGGACCTGTGGGGTATATCGATCCTCCAAGTGCCCCTGCCCCTATACCTGTTGTGTCCCTGTAGCCTGTGGGGAGGTAGTGGGGAAATTTTGGCTGATGTCTGGTACACAGATGGGTCTAGTCCAGGAAATCCCTCTGTGAGGACTGCAGTCACTACTTAACCCAATAATGACACCATCTGGATGGAAACAGGAACAAAGAACAAAGTTCAGCAGCCAGTGGGCTGAACTCAGAACAGCTTGGCTGGCGATCAATCGCTCGTAAGTTCTAGCTGTTAATCCTTTGTTAACCCTTTGCACTGACAATTGGATTGTTTTAAAGGGATGAGACCCATGGCTTGGACATTGGGAAGCCGAGGGGTGGATGATCATGAATAAGCCCTTGTGGGGATCAGGATATGTAAAAAGATGTTTGGGTCTACCTACAAGGGGCTGTGGTACAGGCTCTCTTCTACATCCCTGCTTATAAAGTATGACATCCCCTGGCAATCAGGAAGCTGATACCTTAGCCCATATTGCCCTTGAACTACAGTGACTCATGTTTTGTGTGTTCTAAACAATGCCAAAGGTAAATACCAAAGGAATCTTGAGTCACCCACCAGCGTTCTCAACCAGTATGGGACTGGCAAATTGATTATATCATCTCCGTCCCTCTGTGTAAAGGTTGTACATATGCCTGGTTTGTGTGGACACTGGCGTCTGGCCTAGTCCAAGCTTTCCCCTGGCACTATGCAAACCAGGCTGTCACCATTAGGGGATTATAGAAACTGAATATCATGTATGGATACCCTCATCAGTAGATGTGATGGTGGGGGGGGGGAGGGTCCCATTTTAAGGGTCATGATGTGCAAGACTGGTCAAAGTCATGACAGTGAGGAGTGCCTGGGTGGCTCAGTCAGTTAAGCATCTGACTCTTGATTTTGGCTCATGGTTTGTGAGATCAAGTCCCACATCGGGCTCTGTGCTGACAGCATGGAGCCTGCTTGGGATTCTCTCTCCCTCTCAAAATAAATAAACATTAAAAAAAGAGTCTTGACAGTAAAAAGAGGTTCCTGCTCCCAAGCAGCAGGGTTGGTAGAAAGGAAAAATGGAATATTAAAGGAGCAGATGACATTACTAACAGGTAAAACCACCTTGGCCAAGTAGACTAAGGTACCATTCCAGGCATTAACACATTTTCATAATCAACCAGTAAGACCTGTTGCCCCAACTCATACCAAGGATCAACAAGTTATGCTGCTGAAAACACCAAATCCCATCACACCTGGGAAAGGCATTATCTACTGGAATTTGCAGTGGGAAGTTCTGGGATTGGTGGTTATTTTGCACTCCTGGGTGAGGAGGAACTAGTCAGTCTCCTCTGGGATCCCATTGTTCTGCTATAAGCTTAACCTGTTGTTGAAACATACTATACCTGAAATGGAACAGGTACCATTAAAAGAGGGGGAGAAGATGGGGGTCTTGCTCTGGCATAACCCACCCCTAATCCATCTCACGCCTGACAGTGCCGCCTCCCCTGGCCAACATGGATGGTATACATGACTTGGTCAAAGTCCTAAAACTGTAGCCACACTAACATCTAAAGATGAGGCCTTGGCATTCTTGTAGCAGGGAAATACCTCCCCATACAATTTCCTACTAAACATCTGTTTGACTTTAGACTCTGATGCTCCTTTGGTGTCCAGTTGCAGGATGGGCACCTGATGGAAATATCTTGCTACAGTGGGCCCACTCCTATGTCCAACAAAGAAGTCAATCCAACTGATGGGTATGTGGGCAGCTGCCCCCCTCTAGCTCCTCAGGCTTGCCACGGTGGGTATCGCCCTTCCAGGAAAGGGACTAAAAGGCCCTAACACAGTACATTAAGAAGGATGAGCTAGGACTAGCACTCTTGATTTCATCACTCTTGATGTTACCAGTACTAATCTGGAAACCTGGCCCATGGCACACATGATCAATAACACTGGGCATGGGTCTTCTTTTTCTATCAATTAAACTACACATTTATTAAACTGCTGAATGGATTGGTTCTAGAAATACCACCACTGAGCCAGATCTGGGATAAGTTTATGGACATTTGAACACCTGGGCACCCCTTTATTAGGAAGAGAAAAGTCATTCTAAACAGAACCAACCCAACTGTAACAGGAATATGAGATAGACATCATGGGAACTGTGTAATCATCCTGTCATATTAAGGGAAAGTGACTGGTTTGGTACTGACTGGTCACATCACCCGGGTATTTATTGGGCAGCCACCCAAAGGGGCTCAGTGGTTGTGTGGCACAAATCTTTGGCTATGGCTCCCACCTGGGTGGTGGGACCACTGCACCGTGGGGTTTCCCTTGGCACAGGGGAGAATCGCCCCCCTCCCCACCACCATGGTAACAACAGTTGCCAATTTCTCTCTTCTCAAGACTAGGTAGGTACACCGTGTCTTTCACTGACATGGATTATTTGGCTGTGGCTGTTGTCTTTGTTTCCTCCATTGGTTTGGTGGATGTTATAGCACATATAGACGCCCTTACTAAATTCATCCAGGAAATATTAAATGATAACCAACAAAACTTGTCCTTACTGAATACTGAAATATCTCTAGTGAGAAGAACTGCCCTCCAAAATAGAATGGCTTCGGGCATTATTTTTGTCTCAAAAGGAGGCACCCGTGCCATTATCCGAACAGGTATGCTGTGTGTTCATACCTGATGAGTCTGCTAATGTATCGCCTGTACTAAATCACATGAGAACACAAGTGAATCCCTGAAGGAGCCACCCCCAAGCTAGGGAACTTAATAAATCAGTTGTTGGAATCATGCAGCTCTTGGTGGAAAAAATAATTGTTTTGAGAATCATTATCTTAATCTGTGTTTTCTTTTGCATGTAACCACACTGTTGCTATGGTATCTGCCCCCCAGTGCAGACAGACACCAAATGAACCACCTCCATGATACTGAAACCCCTTGCTGACTGCTTAGGGGACACTATGGAAGAGGGGGTTGTGTGACATTCCCCCCCCCCCCCCCCCCGTAAAAGCTGGTCAGGAGAAGTGGCATGTTGGGAGGAGGTCATCGAGAGGATGTAACCACAGGTTGACCCAGGAATTGGACCCTCGGAGACTTCTTGGAATGTGCATTCTGCTTGCCTTCCTAGTGATGTGGTGTTGAGACCATGTGCATGGTACTGATGGAAGCCAGTTGATGCCTCTGTATGAATTTTTAACATGTGGTGGGTGCAGAGATCTACGTGTATTACTGCTGCCCAGGACAAGCCTCATATTTAAGGTCCCTTGCTTATTTAAACCTGCCACCTACCAACCTGGAGTGGCCTGCCACTTTTTTGGGTCTTTCTGTGTGCTCAAGTTTCAGATTACACCTGGGGAGCTCCTGAGGTTGCAAACTAACACTCCTGTGTTAGTTAGTGGCAGAGAGGTTTACAAGTATTAAAGAACCAGGAGACTTACCTGGAACCTCCAGAGTCCTCCGATGTCGTGAGTCCTTTCAAAACAGACTGGTTCCAAGCCTTCTTCCAGGCAGCACTTGATAGAAGAGAGCCCGCTTGCACCTCCTCCAATCACAGCAATTCTTTTCTTAGTCATGGTCTCCAGATGTCTTCACCAGGCTGGATCAATGTAACCTGTCCAAAAAAAAAAAAAAAGGACAAAAGACAGAAAGCACACATCAGTTAACACATTTCGAGGAAGAGAGACCTTGGTCTCCGCATCCAAATAAATGCTGCCTCAACAGGTGCTTTGGGGGAAGCCAGATTCTGCCTTCCCTTTGGCTGTAGGGAATGGCTGCGCAAGGGATATGGGAGCCCTGCGTTTGCAAGACCCAGAGCTGAGAGCCCCACTGCGGTAACCCATCTCACTGTCTTTTGCAGCACTTGGCCGATCTTTCATCTGTCATGCAGGGGTTACTCTGCCCTTCAGCTGTTATCAAAGACTGATAAAGCAACTGAGTGCAAACAGCAACAGCCAATGGGGAGGAGCCATTCCTCTCCACCTCCTTCCAGCCAAAGCCCAGCCACTCAGCGGCACCCACTCCCTCCTGCAGCGAAAATATAACGTGGGCCAACCCTGCTTTGGGCAGAAAAAAATCCTACAACCTTTATTTTTCAGCTGTGGCCACCCAGACACGCAACTACCCTCCCTGGAGACGGAGTGGCCCAGTGTCTCTATCCCTCCCCGCCCTTCCACATCCACTTTTAACTTCCTGGTATCTGCCTTAAAGTGACAGACTCCTCCTGGTGAAAGGAAACTAGCGACAACCCCAAAGCAAGTCTTGCTCTAAAGGCTTGAGTGGAGAACGCCTTTCAGGAGATCTGTTAAAACAGACCCCAGCACCCTCCTTCCCCCTCCCACATCACTCTCACCTCACAGAGTGGCTCTTTAGTTCCCCGCTGGTGGTAGAAATTTACTTACAATACCTGTGCACTAAGCTGGCTGCTGGGATTCAGTGAGAAAGGGATTGTTTCCTCCTTAGAGGAGCTTATAGTTTAGCAGAGAAGTCCAAACATAAACAGAATTTCAATAAAATAGAAAAACTTTTTAAAAGTGGTTTCTCTCACAGAGTTACATATGTGATTAAAAACATAAATATCCACTTTGAAAATAGAACTTGAGGGGCACCTGGGTGGCTCAGTCAGTGGCCAAGAATCTGACTTTGGTCAGGTCATGATCTTACAGATCGGGCCAGTGAGTTCTAGCCCCTCCTGCACGCGCATCCAGCTCTGTGCTGACAGCTTGGAGCCTGGAGCTGCTTTGGATTCTGTCTCTCTCTCTCTCTCTCTCTACCTCTCCCCTGCTCATGCTTTGCCTCTCTGTCAAAAATAAACATTAAAAATACAAAAAAAAAAAACAATTTTTTTCAAATGTAAAATCATGCAGAGGAGGCCAGTGTAAGGGATGTAGGATTTCACACACCAAGTCAGAATCAGCGCCTGTCCAACCCAGGAGTCTGCTCTGACAGATGTGAGGGGTTGTTGGAGATAAGCAGTGGCTGATGCCATCCATCCATCTGTTTACCTTCTACTTACTCTCTCAGTCAACTTGGCTTAAGATGGTTTGATGTCAATAATGTCAGCCCTGGGTTTTGACTTGCTGGCCTCCCCCAAAAGCATCCTCCATGGACCGATAATTATCATTTCTCAAGGACTCACCTTGTGTGTTTCAAAAAGCCTGATGGGAGTGAACCCATGTAATTTCTCAGCAACCCCATGAGGCAAGCATATCATCACCCTCATCTTCCCAGTAAGTGGAAAGGCAAGGATGCAAACCACGCAGTTTAATTTACAAATGAGTTATTCATAAATTGGATAATTTTGAATGTACTAGAGATGCCTAGGTTCAGGAAAACAGTGAATACTTTTACAAACTGCATATTAATCTCTCCCTTATTGATTTACTTTTCCAATTTCAGAACAATGCAAGAATTACTTTTAAAACTTAATATTTTAAAATGTAATATTACTTTAGTTCTTTACTACTTAGTGTTTTGCAGTCAATTACAAATAATTAAGGACCCTGCTTCAGATTCTGTGTCTCCCTCTTTCTCCGCTCCTCCCCTGCTTGTGCTCTTTCTCTCTCAAAAATAAATAAACATTTAAAAACAATTTTTTTAGTTTATTTATTTATTTATTTAGAGACAGAGACAGAGCGGAGGAGGGGCAGAAAGAGGGAGAAGAGAGAGAATCCTAAGCAGACTCTGCTCTGTCAGCACAGAGCCCCACACAGGCCTCATACTCAGGAAACTGTGAGATCATGACCTGAGCCAAAACCGAGAGTTGGATGCTTAGCCAACTGAGCCACCCAATTACTTTTAAATTTGGAAAATATGTTTTGTATTATTTTTAAATTACTTGTAAAATGTTTTAAGCCTTGACTCAAATTCTGTTTGGTCTAACTGCCAGTTTGCAAATGAGAGGATTTCTTCACGGGGCTGTAACAATACGTACAAACTAAAATACGGGTAGGTTCTACCCAGTTACTCATGCTATTGGGAAAGAACAGTAACACAAATAACAGGATTGATGACAGTGACTAATTCCAAGGTAATATATATGAGGCTTTTGAAGGAGTGTGTGTACATGCATGTATGCATGTGTGTGTGCATACATGTGGAATTGTCCTGAGGAGTTTCTGCAAAGGTCTAACCCAGGAGGGGCTTTTGAACAACATAGCCTTACCTCTAGTCAGAGGTTCTCCCATGTCCTAATTCTGTTAAGTCTGCATTTTACATTCATTCAATAAATATTGCGCTTTGGAGGCCACTTCTTTTAAGATGGCAGCCGTAAAAGAAGGATCTTAGCTTAGATCTTGTTTGAAGAACTTCCAAGGAAATCTGCCTGATCAGCACCGGACTGTGACATGAGTGAGAAATATACATTTGTTGACTTAACACTTGGAGATTTGTTATGGTAGTAACGCCTGCATCAATTAACCCTGGCTACTACAGGAGTCACTTACAGCATAGTAGCAGCTATTCTACGCCTGCTATGGGCTAGGTTTTTTGTTAGGCACAGAGGAGGGAGGGAAAAATCATACCGAAAGGACCTGAAGAGATCAAGCACAGGCATTGTGGTAGACGGAAAACATGGTCCCAAAGAGATCCATGTTCTAATCCAAAGAACCTGTGGATGTTACTTTATATGACGAAAGAGACTTTGCAGATGCGGTTAAGGTAAGGATCTTTCAGATGAGGAGATTATCCTGGATTATCCAGGGAGGCTAATGTAATCAGAGGTGTCCCCATAAAAGGGAAAGTGAGGAAGGTTTGATTTTTGAGACAGAAGGCCACATGGATGGTTGAAGGCGGATGGTATGCTGCTGACTTTGAAGACGGAGGAAGGGCCCAGGAACCACAGAATGCAACTCTAGAAGCTGGAAAAAGTAAGGACACAGATTCTCCCCTAGAACCTCTGGAGGGAGCACAGCTGTACAGACACTATGATTTGGGGCCCAAAGATACCATTTTGGGTTTCTGGTCTCCAGAAATGTAAGAGAATAAATGTGTATTGTTTCAAGCCACTAAACTTGTGGCAGCTAGAGCTGCTCTAAGAAACAAATACAGATGTGGTAAACCCTTGCACAAGATGCGGATACAGAGATTCGTTCAAGCGTAATCTGAAGGACACGTTCTGTGAATCAGCTCACTTGAGATGAAACGTGGGGCAAGCATCCATGCTGTGTTTCCCGTGGCTCCTGGCTGCACGCCATACTGTTATAGAACGAGCAATGGAAGACCCTGCCCTTCGTGATTTTCAAAGATGGTTAGAAACACAGACTATAAATCCATTTAAAAGATTTAAAGATACTTTAAAATACTATTAATGGGGCACTTGGGTGGCTCAGTTGGTTGAGTGTCCAACTCTTTTTTCTTTTTTAGAGACAGAGTGTGGGAGGGGTGCAGAGAGAGAGAGAGAAAGAGAGGGAGGGAAGGAAAATCCAAGTAGGATCTGCACTGTCAGCATGAAACCCTATGCGTAGCTCGATCCCAGGAACTGTGATATCATGACCTGACCCAAAATCAAGAGCTGGATGCTTAACCAACTGAGCTACCCAGGCATCGGACTTTTGATTTTGGCTCAGGTCCTGATTCCAGGGTTGTGGGATGGAGCCCCGCATCAGGCTCCACACTGAGTTTGGAGTCTGCTTAGGATTCTCTCTCTCTCCCTCTGTCCCTCTCCCCTGCTCACTCTCTCTCTCAAATAAAAAAAAAAAAAAAAAACTATTAAAACAAAACAAAACAAAACAAAAAAAACTAGGGACAACTCCCCAGTGAGGGAATGATTGGGTTCTAAAAAGTTTTCTAAACAATTGTTGAAAATCAAAATGCATTTTCCCATAGAAACAATGTTACATTCTATGGTTAAGGCTCCAGAAGAGTCATAAAAATCTTAAAGTAGCACAAAAGACAACAGGTTAAGTTAAAATCCTGAATCAATAGGGTATGAAAGTTTTGTGGTAACGGCTCCAACCCATTCACATAGAGAACACCACTCTTACCTAACGAGTCCTCTCATTTACTCCTCAGGCAGAAGGGTCCTTTTTCTGGCATGTACATGTAGAATTGACATGTATTAGTTTCAGGTATGCAGCAGAGTGACTTGATGTTTATATATTGTGAAATAATCACAGTAAGTTCAGTTAACATCCAGTAGTCTTACTTGTTCTTGAACTTTATTTAAATAGAATTATACAGTATGTACTCTTTGTGCTTGGTATTGTTATACAACTTAATGTTTTTAAGATTTATCCAAGTGGTTTGCATGTAACAGTAGTTCACTCTTTTTTTTTCTATGAATATACAATTTGTTTATTCATTCTCTTATTAATGAGCATTTGGATTAATTCACTTTTTGGTATTATGAAGAAGGCTTTTTATTTTTCTGTAAGTCTCTGTGTGTGTGCATGAGTACACGTGTGTATTTGTGTGTGTGTGTGAACATGTGTTCTCATTTTTCTCGTGTGCCTGAGTGGAATTGCTAGGTCATCACGTAGGCATATGTTTGATTTTTTTTTTTTTTTTTTTTTTTTGAGAGAGCATGCAAGCAGGGGAGGGGCAGGGGGAGAAGGAGAGAGAGAGAAGCTCAAGCAGGCTCCATGCCGAGCCCAGAGCCAGATGCTGGGCTCTATCTCACAACCTTGAGATTATGACCTGAGCAGAAATCAAGAGTCAGACACTTAACCGACAGAGCCACTCAGGCGCCCCAGTATATGTTTAATTTTAGCTGAAAATGCGAAAAATTTTCAAAAGAAGTTGTACTATTATACACACCTCCCGGCAGTATATGAAAGTTCCAGTAGCTACATAGCCTCTCAGCCCTTGGCAGTATTACCATTGATGTGGGTGTGTGATACTATCTCATGGTGTTTGAATTTCCCTAATGACTAAAGATGTTGAAATTCTTTCCATTTAATTTTTTGGCCATTTGTGTGTATGTGTGTGTGTGTGTGTGTATTTTTTTTTTTAACGTTTATTTATTTTTGGGACAGAGAGAGACA